TGAGTCGCGAAGGAACGAAAGCCATATGTATAAGCTCGAGAAATACAGTGACTTAGCAGCCGGTCTGAGGAGGGACGAAGCGTACACAGTAAGAATCTTCGCCGTCGAAGTGGGCGCAAGAGGTCTCGTTTCCACTTCACTTTACAATGTGATTAAAGAATTAGGCTTACGTGGTAATGAACGCAAACGGACACTTAAACAGCTGGGCGAGGTTGCTTAGAGGACCTCGAGCTGGCTCTGGACACAGCGGAACAACGTAGGGGACGGGCCTCGGTGAGCTGGTCCGGGTGTCTAGTGGAAAAGAGTTTCTCATCTCTTAAAGTCCATCGTGTCCGAACTGTCCGCCAATGTCCCTCTGCCACCTGCTAACAAAGTCCAACATGTGTCCGGTAAACAAATCGTAAGCTTGCCACTCGGTCGTCCAGGTATGCAGACTGCTTTAATTATGCTACCGCAACGACTTCTTATCTCACAGTACCTTTTGCAAATTACCAATTCGTCTTGTCCTGTCCGAATAACATCCGGTAATTCGTGCAGCAGGGGAAACCAACCCTGAGCTTTATGATCTCTGGTGGACCCACTCTCTGAAAATGTCTAGGAGCTCGTGGGCTGAAACATTTGTTGACGAGAGGTTACTTCTACTGACGATTGGTAGACCCCTGCTGTACATGCTCCCCTGTGGAGCTTATTCTTATTGAGGCACTCTGTATGTCTTTCTCCTTCGGTGGGAAATAGCTCAGGCCCCATTCACGTCCCATGCGTGCTCAGTCATCCGATGCAACAGCCAGTTCAAGGTACATCTATATGAGTTACGAGTTGGGTTGTCTTCACAGCACTGCGGACATATCTATAGGTGCTCTGATACCACCTTGAGCATACACATTAGCGTCCCATGGTTAATAGTGCTAGTCCTTTGCTGGTTAACGAGACTTCTTGTAGGACCGGTGTGCTTTTCATGCTCGGCTGTGCCGATCTTTAATCTCAAAGATTAGAAAAGATGAAGAGGAGAGGACAAGAAAGACAGGACACTTGATAAGTTCATTATACAAAAGATACCTCCATGCAATGTAGACATCGATAAGACAAGTGTATAGGAAAGCAATAGGGTATATCATATACAACACTTCTTCTTCTGCTGCTTCTCTTCCACCATTTACCTCAGCGATGGGGGTGGGTAAGGATCGTTTGTGCGCCTTTTTTAATGCTTTGTACAAGTTGGCGTTCATTTCGGTTAGGTTGCTCCTAACAACGTCGCTTTATCTCTTTCTTGGTTTTCCATTTGCTCTGCATTCATTATATTTCTTCAGCGTGGCTCTCTGTGGCAGTTGGTACCAACGAATTCTCGTCAGGTGGCCAAACCATCTCATTTGTTGTTCTTTAATGAATTGTATGACTGGTTTCAGTCCATATCTTCTTTAAATTTCATCATTCATTATTGTTATCTCTTCTTGTCACACCGGCAGCTCTCCTAAAACATCTCATCTCTGTTGTTACGATCTTCCGCTCAATGGTTGTAGTAAGGGTCCATGATTGGCACTGATAACACAATGTAGGCCAAAAAACCTTTCTTGTGAGATTTGCTTTGGTTGACAGAGGTATCTCTCTATACGTCAGAAGCGGTATTAATTGTCTCTTGAGCTGATTTGCTTGCGCACATCGTATGTTGATTTATCTATCCATTCTTCCATCTAAGGTGAAAAATGAACCTAGGTATTTCTATTTATTTGAGAAATATAAAACACTAGTGGGAGTCACCTTGGCAGAGCGGCTAGGCGCGCGCCGTGGATCGGAAGGTCGTGGTTCGCTCCCTGGCGGAGCCGGACTTTTTTCAAAAATGACTTTCGCTCCCAGGTCGACCCAGCTTTGAGTGGGTACCAGGTGCAGTAACGGGAAGTAAAGGCGGCCGACGTGATGCTGACCACATCACCCATCTTGTGCCAATTGGTCTACAAAATAAAGGTCTAGACCTATATGCCCAATACGCCTAAAGGCGTGGAAAAGGGTCCATTACTTTACAACACTAGTACCAATTTAAGGCTGGGTCGACCAAGAAGCCAAGGCCATTTTTGAAAACAGTCCGGGCCTGTCAGGGTCTGAACCCACGATCTTCCGATCCTCAGATAGGCGTCTAGCTGCTAGACCTTGAGTGTCATTGTACATGCATGTCAATACATGTGTGTCAGTATGTCTCTCTCTCTCTCTCTTTCTCTCTCTCTCTCTCTCTTTCTCTCTCTCTCTCTCTCTCTATATATATATATATATATATTATATATATATATATATATATATATATATATATATACATACACACACACATGTATATATATACATAGTACATCAACATCAACAGGTGCCTTGCCGACTGGCGTGGGTGATTACACCTCGCCACAATCTGCCATCTCCTGCAGCATGTATTAGTTCATGTGCTGACACACCTTCATGCCATGCAACAAGACTGTCAAGAGTCTTCTCTCGCTGTCTTCCTTTATTCCCCCTTCCACAGATCTTTCCAGTGGTCACAGCATGTTCCATTTTCCCTCTTCTCATACCATGGCCACAAAATGATGAATGTCTCCTCATGTCTGTGATTAGTTGTCTTCGGGCTCCCGCCTCTTTCAAAACCTCTTAGATGCTGCTTTTTGGCTGTCCAAGGTATTTTAAGCATTGTTCTGTAAAAACACATCTCTGAGGCCTCAAGAAATTGTTTGGCCTGCCTATCGATTGTCCAGGACTCACAGCCAAATGTTAAAACTGGAAGTATGTAGCAAACAAGAATTCTTTTTTTTAAACATTCAATGACAAAGATATATTGCATAAGATGGATGTTCTTTAATTTATAAAATGCAGTTTTTGCCTGTCCTCTTTTCGACAGTGGCGAGGAAAGAAAATTTAAATGTTTATTTTTAAGTAGCTTCATGCCTTCTTTAATAATGTCAAAATTTATAGCCGACGTTTCTTGATTTTCGCCGCTGCAAACCTAGCATACGCACCCAGTTTGAGAACCTCTGCTCTAAAGCTTCGGTCGAGTCAGCAGGCAAAGACCTTATCAGCTGCTGTACCACGCAACCGGGTCGCAGTTTCTCCCGCTACGACAGACTTAGGCAACAGCAACTATTTTGTTAATGAGAGAGTTATTTTAGTCCATCGCGGTGTATGCAGAAACGGGTGTAAGATAACCACTATTCGTATTCGGCCCGACCGCAAGTATTCGGTCGAATACCGAATAGTTATTAGGTCCACTATATATATATATATATATATATATATATATATATATATATATATATATATATATATATATATATATATATATATAGTTGATTGGTTCTGCTCTGAATCAAGTTAGGGAAGTATAAATATCGAGGAAGTATGATTACAGAAGATGGAAGAATTGACAGCGATATAAAACCCAGAAGTCAGAAAGCAAATCCACCTATATACCAATTGTCACCATTATTAAGGCATCCAAGCATATTCATTCCAACATTAAGCTACCAGTGCCAAACATGGACACTATCTAAAGCCCATAGACGCAAAGTCATTACCAGCGAGATGAGTTGCCTGAGAAAAGCAGCCAACCTAACCATCCGAGATTTAGTGAATAATGAAACTATCAGGCAAACTGTGAGAACAACACCTTGTACTAGATTTATCGAAAAATAGCAGATCACGTGGTTTGGCCATCTCGCTGGAACGCAGCAAGATCAAATACCATCACAAGCACTACATCTTAAAAGATCAGCTACAAGAGCAAAAGGATGGCCGCGGAAAATGAATACATGAGGTTACTGAAGGCAGAGATAAAGGTCGATTAGCATTAACATTAGAGTAGACCCAATGTTTTGGGACAGCCAGTGGCAGAAAAATACAAAAAGTATCGCAATAGGCAATAGACCGAGTGTCTTACAGTTAAACCCTGACAGCGAGCTGTTATAAAGGGTCTGATACACACTTGTATATGTATATGTGTCTGTGTGCGACTGTGTGTAAACACACACACACACACACACACACAGACACACATTATTATATATAATACACATACATACACATTTACACTTGCATACACAATACATATAGATGCAAACCTTACTAAAACACACACACACACACATACACACACACACACACACACATATATATATCGATATATGTGTATATATATATATATACACACACGCATATACTTAAAAACAAATACACAAGCACATATGTAAAACGGATGTGCACGCAAAACTCAGGTTTTGGAACAAGACCAAAGTCCAGAAGTGGACGAACAGTTAGAACTTTATGTCGGATTTTAAAGCCGGTGAAAGAAAAAAGAAGAATAATATATAAAAATAATGCTGATAAAAATGAGAGACTGAAGTATAGTTTTGAGATTTTGAACAACGGATCATCATCGTGGCACACGGGTAGTAACCCATGTGTTCCGTTCTTCTTCTAACTTTAAGGAGTCCAAAGAAGCTCAGCACAGTGCACAGGCTCTGTAGCACCAGCGAGGATCCTGAAATAGAATAGATTTTTAACTCCAAATTTTTCCCTGGCAGCGCCGTTAGGCTACTTTTTTTTTTTTTCATTTCCAACTGCCAAGGGATTTTTCTAGTGAGAAACAATGCACACGGTAGTCTGATATCACTACCCAGAGCCCAGGGGGAATTACTAGAAGTTTAAGTCCACGTGAAAAATACAAGCCCTTACCGAGGATTGAACCCAGAACCTCTAGCACCCGAGGCGGACACCATGCCTTGAGACCATGTAGCACCCCAGAGAGAGAGAGAGAGAGAGAGAGAGAGAGAGAGAGAGAGAGAGAGAGAGAGAGAGAGAGAGATTGAAGTAAGAAACAAACAGAAGACTGAAACACAAAGATAAAGTTAAGGAAAACGCAGTCAGAAAGACAGGTTACTTCTTTAAAATGTTTAATGATTTTTGTGCTGTTTGGGACGTTTGTGAATTCAGCTTCCAAATATTGCTAATGCCGTTTATCCTAGAAGTCAAGGTTAACTTGTCAGTGCTGCTCGTCTATTATTTGCTTGTCGTCCTCCGTAGTTGGTAATGACACTTGGCAAGTCACAGTACTGTAAGAGCTCCATCACATGACACTGATGGTAACAACATTCACATATTATAGATCCTGATGTCTCTCTTTTGGCCAGGTAGGACAAAGCATCCTTTTTGTTTAGCATTATGTTTCTTAAACTGTCATCCAGAGCTGTGAAGGAGAAAAATACAAAGTTAAATAATATTCTTAACTAAAAAAAAAAAGCAAAAAATATTTTAAAATATGTTAGTGTACATTTCTAAAGTCGGTACTGTGGCTTAGGCGTCACGAACGCGCTTTGTAATGCAGAGGTGCCGGGTTCGATCCCAGCTGCGGGCCTTGCGCCTTGCGTTAGTTTCGACAGTAGTATCAAGAAACCGACCGTACCGAGAGCAATGGCAAAGTACTAGAGATAAACTTGCCTAGGAAAACCACAACAGGCAAGAAAATGCAGCTTGGGGGGTTTTGACAGGACAGAAGAAAGGCTACATGAATCACGGCTTGGGAGGTGCTGATGTAGCTATAGGACATTAAAAAAGCTGTATGAATGATGGCTTGAGAGGTTCCGATGGAGCTATAGGACAGCAGAAAGGCTATATAAATCACGGCTTGGGAGGTTCCGATGGAGCTATGGGACAGCAGAAAGGCTATATAAATCACGGCTTGGGAGGTTCTGGTGTAGCAATAGAACAGCTGAAAGGCTATATGAATCACGGCTTGGGAGGTTCTGATGTAGCAATAGAACAGCTGAAAGGCTATATGAATCATGGCTTGGGAGGTTCTGATGTAGCTACAGGACAGCAGATAGGCTATATAAATCACGGCTTGGGAGGTTCTGATGTAGCTACAGGACAGCAGAAAGGCGATATCAATAAAGGCTTAGAAGGTTTTGATGTAGCTACAGGGCAGCAGAAAAGCTAATTGAATCACGACTTAGAAAGTTCTGATGTAGCTATAGGACAGCAGTAAGGCTATAAAAATCATGGCTTGGGAGGTTCTGATAAAGCTATAGGGCAGCAGAAAGGTTATATGAATCACGGCTTAGAAGGTTCTGATGTAGCTATAGGACAGCAGAAAGGCTATATGAATCACGGCTTGGGAGGTTCTGATGTAGCTATAGGGCAGCAGAAAGGCTATATGAATCACGGCTTGGAAGGTTCTGATGTAGCTACAGGACAGCAGAAAAGCTAATTGAATAATGTCTTGGAAAGTTCTGACGTAGCTACAGGACAGCAGAAAGGCTAACTGAATCACGGCTTGAAAAGTTCTGATGTAGCTACAGGACAGCAGAAAAGCTATGTGAATCACGGCTTGGAAAGTTCTGATGTAGCTACAGGACAGCAGAAAAGGTGTATGAATCACGGCTTGGAAGCAGGAATAGATTTAGAAAAACGAGCAAAATATGCAGTCATTGCTTTTTTTTCGTGCTTACCTTTTAATATAAAATATAAATCTCGTGAGTTTGTTTCATTTACACTGCTGCACAGAGCTATGAGTTGAGAACCGACATCATAGTGCTCGGTATACTCCCATAAGCGCCCCTTTACCACCTTTAGCAGCAAGCGCAGAGCTGCAACTCTCAGGGTACCAGTAAGAGTCCGTCTCGCCCCTCTCTTGAAGAACAAAGCGTCGGCCAGATTTTCCTGGTCACTCCTAACAAACCCTTTCTCTTCAGACCAAGTTGATATGTTTATAGCTCCGCATTCTGCTCGCTCCCAAAGGGCAAAGAAATACAAACTTAGAGATGACCACATAGTGCATGTTTCTTTTGTCTTTCAACAGCGTGCGCAACATAATAAACTAAAAACCATTACGTGAAGACAAATTAACATGAAAAGGTTATATTTACATTTTTCTGTCTGCCTTTTGACAATGTATTTTGTGAAGTGGTTACTATTCATCGAGCACAACAGCCTCAACATGTCCGCTAAATTTGACCCGCACAGACCATTATCGTGTGGTCGGCTTCTGTAGTCGCAAACCCGTTCGTGATTGGCTTCTGTGATGCCGACATGTTGAACCAGGGTCAGTATGAGAGTAAACAGACAGGCACGGGACAGAACGAGGTTAGGAAACATGACCTTGCTGCTTGATGAACAGTTTCTGAAAATATATATTCATGATAGTTTAACGAAATTATTTAAAAAAAAATATGGTGCCTACAACACAGTGACAAGGCGTGATCACTTCGCACTTGTAAACGTTAGCAGTTAACGATTACACTGGAGACTGTATCACGTGTTTTATGTTCCCCCTAGACGGTTGACTGTTAAAAGTATGCGTGTGCAGCTAGCATTGTTGTACTTGTAAAGGGTAGCCTTCCCACATTTAGGCATGAGTTGTGTAAACATGCAACGATTGTGCTTTTCATTATGGTAGCGAAAAAATAAGTGGAATATTTGTTATAATTAGTAAACTGAAATAATGAATCGTAAAATAAGGAATTTGTCTTTGGCAATGAAAAGTGCAGGCAACGATTACTCGCGTTACATGTACGCCTTGCCACTGATAAAATATTACACAATCCAGCTGCCATACTTTCACATTTTTTAACAATAGATGATTTTTGTTATTCCTCCTTTAAGTATGACATCCCAGGTCACTGTGGCTTGGAAGGCAATGAAATAGCGGACAGATTGGCCAGAAGCGGCAGTGACATGGTACAACCAAATAGCGACTTAACCCACCAAGAGATGAAAACACTAATACAATCTAGTATCCAAGAAGGGTGGCTGGATACCAACACCAGATTTTCTCCCAAGACTCACTTCATCGCCTCTCTAGAGAGGGACAGTCTATTATATTCAGACTAAGGACAGGGCACAACAGATTTCGTCAACATATGTACAAATTTTTCGGTGTAGGAAATACGGAGACGTGTCCCTGCAGCGTGGCACCCGAAAATGCTGAGCATGTGCTCCAACACTGTCAACTGTATGCTGACAACAGAGACGCAATCTGGCCTGTTCCAACCACAATGAAGACAAAACTGTATGGTACACAAGAGGATATGGATTGCACGATAGCTTTCATAAAGGCTACCGGCCTCCTGATAGAGGTTTTCTGACAGAAGGATCGAAGAAGAAGAAGAAGAAGATCATCATCATTGTAACCACCTTGACAACTGTCATGCTTGTTCACGAGTAGAATGCCGTTCCCCAGTAAAGTGCAGCGATTCACTGGTTGACATCTGTCTATGCCACGATGAAAGGTTACCTTAGAACGTCTCCCAAACTGTCTCCCCCCCCCCCCTCTCTCTCTCTCTCTCTCTCTCTCTCTCTCTCTCTCTCTCTCTCTCTCTCTCTCTCTCTCTCTCTAATTCCGTTAATCTTATAAGCTGCCGTTACTGCACTATGATGAAGTTGTGTGTGTGTGTGTGTGTGTGTGTGTGTGTGTGTGTGTGTGTGTGTTTTCATTTCCTATACAGGCCCTACATGTTCGTTCCTGATTCTTATGAATGTCATAAACTGCATTGCTTTTCTGATCCAACTGTTTCCCACCCCCACCTCTCCCTTACCCCTCTCCCTATTCTTTGTTCCAGGCGTACTGGTGTTACCTTTTCTTTGGAGTAAACAATGCAAACGAATTGAGGGATCATGCTGCGTGGTCAACACATAGACTTTACAATACCTTCCAGACTATATACAAGGGAGGAGGAGCTTCATTTCTGACCCTAATGAACTGTGATGCCCACGCTCTTATAAAGCCCAAGAAAACACCATTATCTGGAAAGATGGACAGGTGCCAACGATATAAACTGCCAATTGGTTACAGCCGGTGTTAGTCGACATATTATCCTCATTGTACATTGAGCCATTCAGTCTATAAGTACTCAGATCCCCTTCCTAGTAAATCCCGCAGTGTGTAGCGGCTTACGACAAGAGTGATGGGTTGATTTCTTAATATTCTTTAGCTTCATTGTAAGCACTCCTAATAAACCATAAGCACTCCTAATAAACCATAAGCACTCCTAATAAACCATAAGTACTCCTAATAAACCATAAGCACTCCTAATAAACCATAAGCACTCCTAATAAACCATAAGCACTCCTAATAAACCATAAGCACTCCTAATAAACCATAAGTACTCCTAATAAACCATTAGCACTCCTAATAAACCATAAGCACTCCTAATAAACCATAAGCACTCCTAAAAAACCATAAGCACCCCTAATAAACCATAAGCACTCCTAATAAACCATAAGCACTCCTAATAAACCATAAGCACTCCTAATAAACCATAAGCACTCCTAATAAACCATAAGCACTCCTAATAAACCATAAGCACTCCTAATAAACCATAAGCACTCCTAATAAACCATAAGCACCCCTAATAAACCATAAGCACTCCTAATAAACCATAAGCACTCCTAATAAACCATAAGCACTCCTAATAAACCATAAGTACTCCTAATAAACCATAAGCACTCCTAATAAACCATAAGCACCCCTAATAAACCATAAGCACTCCTAATAAACCATAAGCACCCCTAATAAACCATAAGCACTCCTAATAAACCATAAGTACTCCTAATAAACCATAAGCACTCCTAATAAACCATAAGTACTCCTAATAAACCATAAGCACTCCTAATAAACCATAAGCACTCCTAATAAACCACAAGCACTCCTAATAAACCATAAGTACTCCTAAAAAACCATAAGCACTCCTAATAAATCATAAGCACTCCTAATAAACCACCCCCTCCTAACATGTTATTCTTGCAGTCGTGTTATGGTTGCAGATTCACAGTCATCATTCTCGCAAACGTCCTAATTCTTGTAAAGCATTCAGAATATCAGCATGGTCCACTGCTCGTCTACCCTCCACAGTAGCTTTACCTGCAAGCTGATCAGCTTGCTCATTTCCTTGCACACCTGCGTGCCCTGGCACAAACATGAAACTGATATGTTTCAAATTCGACCGCTGTAGAGACTTCAAACATAACAAAACAATGCTGCAACAATTTAACATATAAACCGAGAAGAATTCTAGTGCTTAGAACATTGATGAGGATGATGAATTTCAACCTCACCAGGACAGCACATTGAGGGATAAACACGCCGTAGTGGGGTTTTGAAACAACACAAAATTGCTTCCGACATCGGGACGCAGTTAAAAACTAGGAGCTCAGAATAGTGTCATGGCAAAAGTAACCTCTCACATTTCAGAAAACTTACTAATGAATAAAGTCTTGCATGTGGTGAGAAAAGGTATGTAGAAGGTCAGATTTATATCATATACTACCATATGCGTTTGAATCATTGACAATAAGCTACATGCTGAATAATATCTAACTGTAGTAGACGAAATGAGGTTGCCAAGAAAAATGCAAAGAATACCGTAGACAGGTCGGCTCTGTGGTTAAGTCGATGCGAACGCTTCGTAATGCCGAGATGCTGGGTTCGATCCCAGCTGCGGGCCATGCTCTTTGCGTTGGTTTCGACAGTGGTATCAAGAAAGCCGACCGTCCAGAAGTAGTGGAAAACTACTAGACGTATATTTGCCTAGAAAAACCACACAACAGCTAGGAGCTGTTGGGGTTAGTTCTGCAACGTCCTGTAAAGGATACGAAACTAACACCGCAGACAGGCGTGAAAACAAACGAAGTAATTGACCAAAATATTTAAAACCGTAAACAGTACAGGAAATAGGCAGTGATCTGGGACTTAAAGATGACAGTAGACTAGCACTAGTAAAATATATGAATTCAGTAAAATCCTAGGTATTAGAGATAAAATAAAAAGAGAAAGTAGGATCATAAACAGTTTTAACTAGACCAGCGGTTCTTAAACTTTTTTCGCCGCGACACCCTTGTCGGGCAAAGAAAATTTCGCGGCACACCTATTCGTAAATCTGTTTGAATACTTAGTGGAAGAAGAAATAACAGGGCATATTTAATGTTCATTTGTCTTAAATGCAATGAATAAAACTGTGTGGATGCATTTTTCATTATTTCGTTTATGTTTATAGAAAGTTTTGGCTCTGTGGCTAAGTCGATGCGATCGCTTCGTAATGCAGGGATGCCGGGTTCGATCCCAGGTGCGAGCCATGCACCTTGCGTTGGTTTGGACAGTGGTATCAAGAAAGCCGACCGTCCAGAAAGCAATGGCATACTACTGGACGTAAATTGCCTAGAAAAACCACACAACAGCCAGGGGCTGTTGGGGTTGGTTCTGCAACGTCCTGTAAAGGATACGCAACCTTCTTATAGAAAGTTTAGTTACTTAACCTTCAATTTATTTGAGCCAGAAAGTTTGCTCTCGTTCTGTTTTTAATGTAAGCGTACGTTGAGAATGCACTGCAGCTTTAGGGTATTACTGTTTTAAACTGCTGTCTTTGCTGTCTCTAGCAGATTTAGACTTCTTGCTTATTTTCACCCTGGTTGCCGTGCACACTTTTTGAGAACCGCAAAAGATGATGATACTGATGATTGTTATGAAGACAACATGCAATTTTAACAATAGTGAAAAAAAAATTGTTTTTTTTTAAACAAAAGTTCGATGTTATGAATAGAATGATTTTATTTTTAAATAATCATGTATCAGTTTCTTGTGCTGTTGTTTTATCGGGTCTCTTGGGGTTATCAAAGAACAGTTATACTGCAGCCTTCCATGCATGCTGTAAGAGACTTCTATGAGGATTTGTCAGAGGCTGGCTGCAATATCTTGGATCAAACTCATGCTTAAAAATTGTAGACAGCCTAAAAGTAAGGATTGAAGAATAAATTATTCCGACTAGATAAAAGGAGAATCTTCTAGAAGTAGTATCTTCTGTATTCGCCACTGCAAGGGCTGTTGGCCCGCTGTGTTGTGGTTTACAGTTAGGATGCGATATCTGTGCCTTTCGTCCCAACATACTAAATTTCAGAAAACTTTTACTTATTCTTCACTGACGACAATCTTGTTAAGAGACGCTTCGTTTAACCTACCTCCCCTTACCCGCCCCCCCCCCCTTTTCCACCAAACTCTCCAAACAGGGTCATGAAACCTACACGGGAAAAGAAGTATAACAGAAAGAAAAGAAAGAAGAAATGGGGATTGCAGATACATCCTTTTACTTAGGAAAATCCCCAGA